CGGGGGCTGGAGCCCGCGGTCCCCGGGCCGGCGACCCCGCACCTCGGAAGCTGAGCTGGACCTGTCTGTCGCCGCTGCCCGGCAGGTGGCTGACCCGCTTCACGCTGACGCTCAGCACCATGGCGCTGCCGTCAGCCCGCCACCGCTGCGCCGGCTGCCCTCTCTGCCTGCGGCCCCGCCCGAGGGCCGGCCCTGCCGGTTACTCCGCCGCGGACTCGCCCCGCAGGTTCGCCCTCCTGCGCCCCGCCCCAACCGCACGGGCTGCCCGCACCTCCTCGCCCCGGGCCCAGGCGCTGCCCGGGCTCCAGCAACCCCGGAGACCAGCGGAAACTTGGCAGCGCTCGGGGGTGCCGGCTGTCAGGCTCTGCCTGTCACTCTTCCCCTACTGCCTGGGGCGCCAGCTGTATTTGGCGAGGTTTGCGGAGGCCCGGAGCGAAGGAGACCGGGCTTCAGTCTCCTCCAACCTCCTACTGAGGTTCTGGCTGCTCCGCCTCGCACCTTTTCATTTATGCACTCCCTATCCCTGGCCCTACCAGGACTCAGGACCTGGTCAGCCTCCTCCTGGCCCCAGCCAAACCAGGCATCCCTCTGGGCAGTCTCACCACGCAGCATCCAGTGGATCCCTAGACCTGCTCAAAGGCCAGTGGGCACTGTCTGGTGCCCTGCTCAGTGTCCCCTCCTTGGTACACTTGTTTTGAACCTGTGACCCTCACTCCAGTTACAGAATCATAGAAAACCAGGGTTGGAAGGGACTTCAGGAGTTCATCTAGTCCAGTGGTTCTCAGCCTTTTTCATACTGGGGCCCATTTGCCAAGATCAATGGCGTGTCCCAACCCACACCCCCCTAGCCCTGCCGGAGACCGACCTACAGTCCTCTGTCCCCCCAGGCCCTACTGGTGCCCCTCACCCCCAAGCCACAGGCCCCAGGCCCTGCAAGCACCCCTCACCCCCAAGCCATGGCCCCCTGGACTTGCTGGTGCCCCTCACACCCAGGCAACAGCCCCCTGGGCCATAGTGGTGCCCCTCACTCCTGACCTGCAGTCCCCTGCCACCCCAGCCCTGCCAGAGGGGATGCCCAGCTGCCTCTGTCCTGCTTGGGCCAGAGCATGAGCAACAAGTGTGGGCCCCTGTGTGTATGGGCACTGGCCACCAACCCAGGCACGCAGTTCCCTGCTGAAAAGGTCTACCCCTGCCTCCCTCCCCTGCTGAAGGGCCAGGCACCTTCTCCCCACTGCTCCCCCTGCCCTGCTGCAGCCCCACAGCCAGCCATGGTCCCCAGCACCAGTGTGCACACACACACATGGCTCCCTCCCACCCCCAGCCCTCAGGACACTCCCCAGGACTTCCATCTCCCACTCCCCATACACTTACCTGTGTCCAGTGACTGGGACTGCTCCCAAAACCTGGCTTCACTGTATGCTGGCCATGTGCGCCTGCATGTGCAGATGCACATGCCCCCACTGCCTCCAATTGTCCCAGGCAGCCACTTGCAAGCTGGAATGCTGCCAGCCTGCAAAGGGAAATCCATGCTTTCATGGGTTTTTCTGGGACTTTGTCACAACCCTTTCAAATATACTTGCAACCCACTTTTGGACTGTGACCCACCAGTTGAGAAACACCGATCTAGTCCATCCTCCTACTCAGAGCAGGACCATCCCCAACTAGATCATTCCAGCCAGGGCTTTGTCAAGCTGGGCCTTAAAAACCTCCAAGTTGGAGAGTCCACCACCTCTCTGGGTAACCTGTTCCAGTGCTTTGCCACCCTCCTAGTGAGAAAGTTTTCTAATATCCAACCTAAACCTCCCTTGCTGCAACTTGAGACCATTGCTCCTTGTTCTGTCATCTGGTACCACTGAGAACAGTCTAGAACATCCTCTTTGTAATCACCCTTCAGGTAGTTGAAGGTTGCTATCACATCTCCCCTCAGTCTTCTCTTCTGCAGAATAAATAAGCCCAGTTCCCTCAGTCTCTCCTCACAAGTCATGTGCCCCAGCACCCTCACCATTTTCGTTGCCTTCTGTTGAACTCTCTCCAACTTGTCCCCATCCTTTCTATAATGGGGGGCCCAAAACCAAACACAATACTCTAGATTGACCTCACCAGTGCTAAATAGAGGGGAATAATCACTGCCCTTGATTTGCTGGCAGTGCTCCTACCGATGTAGCCCAGTATGCTGTTAGCCTTCCTGGCAACAAGAGCATACTGCTGACATATCCATCTTACTGCCTATTGTAACCCCCAGGTCCTTTTCTGCAGAGCTGCTGCTTAGCCAGTCGTTCCCCAGCCTGTACTGGTGCATGGGATTCTTCCATCCTAAGTGCAGGACTTCGCACTTGTGCTTACTGAACCTCATGAGATTCCTTTTTGGCCCAATCCTCCAATTTGTCTGGGTCTCTCTGAATCCTAGCCCTGCCATCCAGCGTATTTACTATACCCCACAGCTTGGTGTCATCTGCAAACTTGCTGAAGGTGCACTCCATCTCGTCTTCCCGAGTGTTAATGAAGATATTGAATAAATAGTCCATTTCTCTTTTTCTTTGTCCCACAAGTTCAATTAGCCCATATCCAATAGCCTGCTCTATTAACAGTGGGAGATAACTGCTGCTCTGTGGGCAGAAGGCCAGTGTTATCATATGTGGCAAATAAGCCTGGGGTTGGGCAGAGGAGGGAAGACCTTAAAGAAAGCTTAAAAAAGAAAGCCAAAAATAGCCTCCCTGCCACCCAGCCCAGGGCAGTTCACAAGAAGATAATATGCCCTGCTTGTGTTTATTTCTGGGCTACTTTAGGCGGCTGTGGAGAAGAGGACTGTTCTGCCTTCCTTTCCTGAAGGTTGCTTCCTTCACAGACAGTTCCTCCAGACAGTTTACTTGAGGTTGGAGGTTTGGTTTGTTTACCTGGAATAAAAAGGGCCTATGTGCTGAGGAGGTGATTACAGGGCAAAGGAAGTAGTCATGGGCTGAAAGCAGGGTAGATTTTCACCTTACAGACTAACCAAAGTAGATATAAATATACCTATATAGCACAAGCTTTCATGGGCTGAACTGCCATTTTCTAATGCTTGGGACTTCAAGCAGCAAGGTGGACTGGACTTTCGCCTGGCAAGCTGAAGAGCTAGCTCCATGACATTCTCTATGAGCATTGCTTTCTAGTTGCTAGAAGAGCTAAGAAACAGCAATGTGGTGGGGAGTAATTCACACGTAACCTGAAAACAGTGCTGTATCTTCCTGGGTTAGCAACCTGCTGGGCTGCACTGCTGGTTACACAAAGAAACTGTGGAAGCCTCCCTGTGTTAGAGAGGCCACCAAATGTGTAACAACAGAATACGGGGTTCAACAAATGAAAAAACAGGGATGGGAGCAATGCTCAGAGGTTAACAATGAGATTTCTGAGGGCGGACACCAAGCAGAGCTCGCTGACCAGCACCCACTGGTCCTCAAACATGTCCAAGGAGCCTGTGGATGCTGCTCAGTGAAACTGCCCGGAGACATAAGTGGAGAATGGATGGCAAAATGACCTCACATTCAGCAGGCTCCCCACAGCCAGAGACTCCTTCCTGGTCAGGTAGATGGCAAGTTTGGCCAGAACCAGGAGGAAGTTGACTAGGAGGTTCCAGGCCCTGGTGCAATTGTAGATAAAATGCATAAAAGAAAAGATATAGGAGGAAGTGCAGCCAGCACCTCAGGAGGAGTTTCCTGACACTGTCACTAAGGAACCAGGGATTCTTGGGTTTCACTGAAAGCCTTTAATTAATAATTCCATAACTTAATGGGTGAGACTGGATTTCATGCCTTGCTTAGCAATAGCTAACCTAGAGGTCCCTGATTCTCTCTAGCCTGTTTTTTGTATGTGTACAGGTAGCCCTTTTTCACATGCACAGTGGCTGGCTCCCAGTGACGATTTGGACACTGGAAACTTCACAGCAGTGGACAGTGAATTCAGACACACCCTCTGAATCTGTATGGAGCTTGTTGGTGATAAATGTTTATATTTCTGCTTA